TATATATATATATATATATATATGTATACCTGTAATGTGAAGGCTGTGGCTATGATTGTGAGAGCAAGAGAACCAGTTTCAAGGAGATTGAAATCAAGATCCATTTTGATCCCCACGATCCATGCAACGATAACACTCATTGGAACCTAAATTAATTAAAACCATGTTTTAATTATTAATATAATTATATTTCCAGAATTTCAAAAAACAATAACTGTGGATTAAAAAAGAAAGCTTGCCACAAAGACAGAAATTTGAGTTGCAGAACCAAGTGCGACACCCAAAGTTATATCCTGCATTTATGAAAAATAATTAGTTTTATAGGATGTAAATGTGAATAATGAAAGTTTTGTGCCTAAATTGTAAAATTTGGAAATACCAGTTTGTTCTTGAAAGCAAAGATGACAGCTCCAGCATGCTCAGCTGCATTTCCAACAATTGGTAGCAAGATGATGCTAATGAAGCTCACTGATATCCCCCATGAAGTGGAGGCTTCCTGTATACATTAACCAAACAATTATTTTCATTATTATTTTATAATTAATTAATAATAAATTAAATTAGATCAGTTGATTTCAAGAGATCACTGCAACGAAATCTTGTTCATAATTTATAAGCAAACAGTTTTATAAGACTTAGGGGTTGTTCGATTCGTTTTCTGTTAAGACCTGTATGGATATAGCTGTCTGTATTGATATAGTTGTCTGTATATTAACAGATAAGTTGTTGTACTGAATAAACAGTCTGAATATCATAAATGACCATTTTACCCTTCAGTCTATATCTTTTATCAATAACTATATATTGTTTCCAATCTAATTTTGATCTGGAGTTTTTCAGACCTAATGTCAAAAATGAGGGTCTTCCAGATATCAATTCTTCATTTCCTGATATCAAAACTGGAGTGGCTATGGAGAGGAGTAGTTGAGGAAAGTTAATAGTTGAATACAAAGGAGGACATGTTTTGTAATTGAGTGGTTCAGTCATGGGCTCACCGAATAAGCTTATACCTAACAATTAGATATGGCTGTGCGAATAAGCCATATGACTTATACAGTCCATTAAGCTGCAACCGAACAGCCCCTTATATTTATAGGACCAAACAACTATACATCATGTGTAAAAGTATTACAATAACTTTTATATGATGTTTTTTTGACATGTTAACAAGTTTTTTAAAATAATATGTCTTTTTTTATAAGGGACGATATATGTATATACCTCAATTGTATCCACCAAGTATTCAGACAACAAAGAGATAACTGCAGTCATTCCAATAAGCCAAATCAAGCCACTCCAAAACCCTATGACTGGTGTTTCTTCTTCACTTGCACCCATGCCATCCTCATCCTGCACATTAATTAATTCTTAGACAATCTAAAAAAGACGCAAGAAATATTAGCTTTTTTATATGACATTTTTAGAAACAAATATGATCAATTTAGACAATCTAAACAATACAAGAAATTAACAAAATTAATTATATATATGTATATGTATGTATATATATATATACCTCTTGGGATTCAAAGATGTGGCGGTGAGTGAAGAGTTGGAAAACGAGATAAGCCAAGTAAGCAACAAGCATGACGATGCAGCTAGCTCTTGACAAGTTGAGTGTTGCAGCAGCAGTAGCCAGTGGAGTCTCAAGACTTGCATATCTGTACATCAATGGTAACAGATGGCAAAGCAATCCCAGCAGCAGCAGTGCTATGTTTACATCTGCTTGTTTCTGTATATACACACATATCAACATATACGTTACAAACCCATTCTTGCTCCTGTGCTTGTGTATATTTTTACGTGTTTCACATATATAAACTTGTAATATGTATATATATATATATATATATATATATATATATATATATATGTATGTATCATTGGTACGTACCCTATCAAACTTTTGTTCAACAGAGACATTTGCTATTCCACCACAAAGCAGAGAAGTACCAAGCACCAAGAGAAGATTGGAGAGAATGGAACCCAAGAGAGAGTATTTAACCACATCCACTTTGTTTTCCATTAATGCAAATATTGCTATGATCAGCTCTGTTGCATTCCCGCATGTAGCATTCAACAATCCTCCCACTGCAATGCAAATTTATTGAATTAAATATACATATATTTAATTATTTGTATGATATGATTTAATTATTGGAAAATAATAAAAAAGGTAATTAAAATTTACCTGTTGCACCAGTGTAATAAGAAAGTTGTCTGCAGTTTCAAAAACATTTTAATAAAATAAAAAATTAATTAATTAATTAGTATGATTTCACTTGAAAAATAAAAATAATAATAAAAATGGATAGAATTGCTTACTCTGTTAGAAAGCTAACACGTTCGGCAAGCGGCATCAATCCAAGTAAACTTAAGGAAAAAACCCACGGCTATTTTTCACAAAACAAACAAGAAACCATATTTAATAATAATTAATAATTAATTGCAATAATTTACATGTAATAAACACTTCAAAAATAATATAAAATCAACAATATTTTCATAAAATAAAAGTAATTTGTAAAATATATAACATTTTAACTTCTATTTAGTAACCCCCTCTCTCTCTCTCTCTCTCTCTATATATATATATATATATAACCGTAATATAGTAGATAGGTATATAGCAATAACCGTTTTCACTAGCAATAAACAAGAGACGTTAAAATCTCTCAATAGAAATATAAAAACCGTATAACATGTGAATTTATTTAGTCTTTATGTGTAGTAATTAATATTATGTCGGAATTAAAATGATTAATTAAAACGAAATAGCATATATGGTTAACCTTAAAAATCAATTCAACCAAAAATGAATTGGTTATCACTTGTTGCAAGCAAGAATTTGCGGGAAAAAGGGGATTTCTGCACGTATATGTTTCAAACGAAGCCCTAAAAACCCCGTTTTCCGAAAATTAATTGAAACAACGAAACATAGTCAAAAGATTGGGTTGAAAATAACCGAGACTCACTCTTGCAAAACCGAGGTATTTGGCAGCAATGGCAAGAGGAATGGCGATAAAAAGGATTGCTAATTTAGTACCCAAAATGACCTCCTGGAGATTGGCTAGAAAGTTTCTAATGGTTGCACAGGGGACTTTGGAAACAAGGGTCATATTGGACTTTCTACGAAGGGAAGAGGATGACTTGTTGTGGGCTGTTCGGCTATGACCATGCCCATGTCTGGTTTCCTTGGTTAGCCTCTTGACGGTGCCATTTTCAAGCAACCATGGTTCAGCTGGTTGTATGGAAGCCATAGATATATGATCTGCACCTTTTGGAAAGAATTTTTTGGAGATCTTAATGGATGAATGAAATGAATGTAAGTTCCCAAAAAGTCACTCCACTCTTTTATAGCAACTAACCCGCTCTCTTACTATATATATATATATATATATATATATATATATATATAGCTGACAATCCATACATCATAAAAAAAATGTTATATATACTATATTATAAAGCATTTGACAAAAACTTTCTTAAAAACCATTTTTTTATATATGAAGTACTGCGTATTGATGCATATTACTTAAAATTCAATATTACAAGTAAATTATGCATAAGTACAACTTATTAAAGCTTCATGTTTAAATTCGTATAACTAACTGTAGATAAAAATAATCAAATATAGAATAAACATCTCATTTTAAAATATAAAAAATCTAAAATATAATTAGRATAATTATYGARTTYTAACAAAMTAAYTAATTAYTATCTTTATAAGAAAATTATATTATTAAACCAAATATAAATTACTTCGTTATTGAACTTAAATTAAGTTATAATAAAAAATTAAATTAAAAAATTACACAAAAAATAAGAATTTTAAATATTTAATTTGATACTAATATCGATATATTTTTGTCAAATTTTTATGATATCTTCAAATTTATATTTTATTCAAAAATAAAAACATCATCGTTTTTTTAAAATCACATAAGACCATAATATAACATTGACTGAGATAAAAAATAAAATGAAATATTAAAATCAAGATGTATCTCGTTGCATTGCACGAGTACCCTTCTAGTAACTAAAAGTATTACGGTATGTTTATAAGATGTTTTTGGACGTTTTAACAAACTATTTAGGACGTTTTTAAAATGAATTGTTGTATTAGTTATTTATATATGTTATTGTTTGATAAAGTATATGTTACTATTTGATAAAGTATCGTATAAATGATGAGTTTATCACATTTCTCAAAAAAAAATTATAAATTAAATAGTTAATATATAATACTTTAGTTTGAAAATATCGTAAAAACTTTTTAAAATGTCTAAAAACATCTTATAGATCTATTTTAACACTTTTAAGTATAACGTTTTATAGTTTACTTTTATAAACTTAAGTCTTATAAATTATTCTATTAAAATGTTTAGACATTTTTAGCATAGCAAATTAATTTTGTTGTAATGCTATATGTACATTTATTTATATCAAAATCAAGTCAAATTATATAATGTGAATTTAAAAAAAGTAAGTCTTGATGTTTATGTATGTGTGACGAAAATTAAAAGGTAAATGTGTACTTAGAAAGTGTTATTCAACATGAATCAAACATTATTGATTAATTAATTGCACATCCATTCTAATTAACATACATCATGTCGCATTGTAGGCGGTCCAATAAAAATTATGTTCCTAATAGAACTTCCCCATACACACACACACACACACACACACACACATATATATATATATATATATATATATATTTGAAGGATTATGTGAGAACAAGAGTTAAAATGATCTACAACCTTGATCACTTTTAGTCTCACTCCCACCCCATGAATTGCACTTATCACGAGAATTGATCTAGTGCATCTACGTGCACTGTATAGTGTTAATCTTCGATTAGATTGATCCAAAGGTAGAGATCCCTTTTTACCCTCTTCATTATAACTTTCAATCTCACTAGAAACCAACCCTATATATAACGAAGAGTTCAAATGAGAACACCTTCAATTTACGAGAATGTAAGAATACCCTTTTACTATAGTCAATCATATGTCATACTATATTTCATCACATATGATATACATGTGATACTAAATCACTGATGCGAACGACCTTTGGCTTGACATAGGTTGTAGGCTAATTCTTCTATACATCACTAAGGTCCCCTTACATGTATTATCAAATGTGATAAAGATGTTCTTTATGAGGTACTATAATTCATCACATGTGATATTAAATCAAGGATGTAGACTACCTTTGGCATGACCTAGATTGTAGGGTGTGTCATCCACATACCACCAGTCCCCTTATGTGTTATCATATGTGATAAGGGCGTTTTCATGTTTTCGTAAAATAGAGGTGTTTTTCTTTGAACATCCACATGTATATATATATATATACACACACACACATACACTTGATGGATAAGAGATAGATTCTTCAACTAAATTACATTTTTCGTTCATATGGTTTACTGAAAATTTCTATTTCCGTCCTTACGATTTTGAACTTACATTTTTATATCTATGATTTATAATTTATTATTGTTTTTCGTACTTATAATTTATAATTTTTTTCATCCTCGTAGTTTATAATTCATTTATGTTTTAATTCCTCGTATTTAAATGTAGGAGTTAGTTTGTAAGACAAAAGTAACAAGGTGGCTTTGCAATATGGTTTGGTGCGATTTAGGGCAAAACTGCAAACTATACCGCATATGCTTCAAACTGCACAAAACTTGTTGTCCGGTTTATATGGTTTATACTTAATGCGTTTTAATCTGGTAATCATAAATAATAACTTCAAAATAAATTCAATGATCACATGCCCATAACATATACAATCAAAAGTTTCAATACATGAAAATACAATAGTCTAAAAATACTAAAGAATTAATTAATTCAAACATATATGTAAAATTAACTTTAAAAAAAATTGGACGATGACGTGTGACATATCCATACATTGTCTTTCATCGCAGAGTCCTAACAAATGACAAAAGAAAATAACTCAAATGAGTCTAATAAAAAGAGTAAAAGATAACAATCAAAAGGAAAATTGAAAAATGAATAAATAATATACTTAATATTTTCACTTAATTCATGATAGTGTAATATATATATATATATATATATATATAATATGTGGTGCGATGCAATTTGAATTGCCATTTCATTATTCAAAATTGTAAACCGCACCACAAAGTGCGGTTTAATAAAAACTCAAACCGTGAATGTTCTAAATTGTACAATGCACTGTAGTATGGACGATTTGTATAGCTTGATTGTTTAGACGAACACTCCTAAAAATAGCAATGGATTTCAAACAATAATGATAAAAAGTGCAATTTTAGAATTACAGGGACTAAAGCTGTAAGTTTAACAAACCACATGGACCAAAAACTTCGTATCTTTCTGATTTGATTGTTTGGAATCCATGGAAAGAACCTTCCGCGAAGCTGCAATGGTTTTGTCTTCCCATCACATGTTACAAATTGCGGCTATAAATTTTTTATTAATTTTCAATTTAGCCGATCGACTTTATGTATGAAGGTGACAAGTGTAAGAAGGAATCTAGAACCCAAATCCACCCATGAATCGATCACGCTTGATATGAGGTTTGATTCGATGCATTTCTTCTTGGTGCATTTCATCCTAACGTGCATCCAAAAATGAATATCAAAAACTGAACCAAACTTTTTACATTTCATGTATTTTACCAAAGATAAATTTTTACATTCTTGATCTAGGGATGAGCACGAAAAAACTTTATGACGACCATATGTTGTACATTGATTGAGCTTGGACAATGATGAAAAAGAAGTGTGATGAACTAAACTTGTGGGCTAAACCGAAGTTTGTAAATTAGATTAGCAATTCATAAGAAACGAAAAGGAAACGTCTTTATAACGTAAAATCGAAAATGTACATCGACCTAAAAGAAATTAATGTTTGAATTGGTCTGTTGTTGTTGGACCACAAACGATACGTTACGCCAAGAACTATGTATGAATCATTGTTGGATGGAAAATGATACGTTAGGTCAAAAAATTTGCCGTCAATAATCACCTAAAATGTAACTGAAATGTCAAGTTTTTAGAGATGATAAATAACGAAATTAAGAGGGCTATATTTGTGCGTCATTTAGAACTGGTGACCATTTTGTTAAAGTAAAATTTATTGTATATACTTTAAGAATTTACTAATTTATGAGATCCGTGATATATAATTTAAAACACACAAAAATTAATTGAAAAAAATTATAGTTTGGATGTAAAACTTCTGTTTCTCTCTCCTCTCACCCATTTTGTGCTTTCTCTATCATCTCTCCACAACATATATGTACACAAATAATAGAATATGAACGGTGAACATATTGTAAACACTTTTTTGGAAATAATATTATAGTTTGTGAACACTCTAAATATATAAATATATGGTATAATTTGTGAATACAAACTAAATCAATAAAACTAAATATAAGGGTATCACTTAGGAACACAATGTGAACACCCTACTAATTCTTTTTAACGTTTACTAAAAATTATTATTCCTATTTTTGAATTAAAAAAGACATGTGAAATGTTTTTCAGGGAATGTATTTTATCTTTTTAGTAGAAAATTAAATATTAAATAAATGTGTTAGACGATCAAATTGACCATGACTTAACAAAGTTCTTCAACGGAGTTAACCTTAATGATGATAAACGAAATAAAATAGAAACCACAATGAAGAACAAAGTATTTTTAAAGATTAAAATGTAGAAAACAGGAAGAAGAAAAAAATATCCCACTCATTTGTCCTCTCCGACACCGACCATCTCTGACAACATCATATCCCGCCTCACCGCATCTTCCATCCACTTCACCCTCATATATTCACGATACTACATAATCCCTAAGATCATTACCCAAATTCAACAACCAAGAAGAATAGTGAAGGCATCAAAACTCAACCTAGGAGCATCTTGATTGAAAAGCATGATCATGGTTTCTAGTTTTTATTTTTATTATTCAACTGATGATTCCAGACAATCGACTATGTCAAGTTTAAGCTTCAATTGGTTGTTTCTTATGCTTATAATCGTAAAACAAGTTAAGTTATATGAAAACCCTCATATGACGGTGATCAAAAGTTGTTGATGTTGATAGCAATCGACGAGGCAACATTTTGGTGACAGTGTGTGATCGGCAACAAGAAGATCTTTGGATTGGTGATTTGGTGGTGAAACGATGGGGGAGGGTTTTGATTTTTAGTACGAATCATAGACAGTTACCATATTTTTCTTTTAGCATGATTTTACTAAAACACCTCATTTGAGGGGCACGTAACTGAAAATTATGGACAACCAAAACAA